GGGGGGGATCCTTATTGGAATTTGCGGATGGTATTCTATTTGGGGACTCCTTATTGGAGTTGTGTGCTTAGTGCACCGTTTTGGGATTCCTTATTGTGGTTATAGTCGAACATGGAATCTTGGTGCTCCTTATCATGATTGTATAATATACCCGAAACACCTATTCTGATGATTACCTATAGCCCGAACGACCTGCCTTTTTAAGGGACTATAGAAATCGTAAGAAGGAGCCCCAAAAGGTCTTTTCGGCTACAGGTAAGGCGCCTACATTACTTGCCCAGGCTTCGGAGAGATCGACGTCAAAGATGTGGGCAAGGCTGCCTTGCCCTGGCATGGCGTCTTCTTCTTATTAGGATTGTTAATCGTATCATTATTCGTACGTCGTACGTACTATTAGTGTTCTCATGCTTGTTATCATCGCTACTGTTATTTGTACTATTGTCATTATTGTTGTTACTCTTTCCATGATTACTTCTATTTCTAGTTTTGTTGGTGTTATTGTAACTACGATTGTTGTTCACTCTTATCAGGTTGTCAGGCTTTGTGAGAATTGCATGCTCGCATCATTTCAATTCTCCTGTGTCTGGCAAACTTGCACATTGTCAACATGAAGATGAACGAACATACGTGAAGATGCTCAGATGCATGTATGCGTTTTTATGAATAGAGTTGAATAGAGCATAGCAGGTCACATAGAAGTTATAGGTGTTTGGGACGCCCAAGAACCGTGCTTCCACTGGAAGCGATGGCGGCCTCCCTCGGCTGCAGGTACTTCGCTGGATGGGATATCCTGCCAGCTTCGATGTGCAGCAAATGCTCGTCAAGGAGGCACTGCCTCACAGATTCGTGTGAGAGGGTAGCGACACAATAGAGGTTCCCTCAAAGCTTAGCCAGGTGGACATCGACGAGTCCAATACACTGGACGCCGTCGAGATGAGGAAGCTGGTGCGGAAGTTCCAAGAGAAGGCTTCGAATCTTCGAAGTCCTTGCTAGGTTCTCGGCATGCGCATGAAACCATGCCGCCTACCGCATCCGATCCTGCAATGTACACAAGCCCATTGTCAGTTACATATATGTCTGGATACATATGCTTTTGTGTGTATATCTATACACAGGCATCACGTTTGCAGCTACATACAGCATAATGCTTGCAGCTATTACTATAGCTGTAGCTTGTTCGTAATATCTGATCGAGAGAGTGCTCGCATGCGCGAGGCCAAGTCTCCTCATAGTGGTTACAAGATGTTACAAGTCGGTTCCCAACGTGTATCTACAAAGGAAACTAACGATGCAGGCTCTAGAGTGGTCGTTTAGATCCTCGCTTGCAGGAGCTAACGTCATGGACGATTGCCTTCAACCAAAGCCTCAAGAAGGGCTCTAGCACCTTGGAGGTGCATCAGCACGGATCGATTGGGGTTGGTAAGGAACAGAAGTACCATCTCAGCTCTAAGTAAGCCGTTGGGGGCACGAGCAACTTGCGAGAGGTGTAAAGCATTCCTGCCAAACTTTCTGATCCCATGCCCCAGGTGCCTGCGTGTGCTCGCACTTTGCGGAGCTTGGGCATCAAGGTACCGTGACGGCACTTCGGCAAAGGTTTCCCTGACCATTCACAAGGCACTGTGATACAATATACTGTATAGTATACTATACTATACTATACTATAATGATCGTGCGATATAACAAACTAAAGTATAATAACCACAGATCGGGAGTTTCTCAGGCCTCAGAGTCCGAAGTGGAGGAGATCCGCTGGCGCCTGAGAGTGGCCATTGCATTCTGGGGATTAGGGTTTAGGGTTTA